TCACTGACTAAGTTTTAATCACGGAGGCCTCTCCCATGTAGACATGGCTCCTGTTCTCTTTTCTAGGGAGGAGTTAACAAAATGTACCATGGGATCCAGGACTACGATGAGAACAGTGCCCGCGTGCACCTCGTGATGGAGAAGGGAGACACTGTTTTCTTTCACCCCTTGCTCATCCATAGATCTGGAAGGAACAAAACTCAAGGGTTCCGGAAAGTAGGCATTCCCATCGCTGCTCCCATTGGCAAAGATGGATGTGTTGGAAGCAAAACTCAAGACACAGCCGGGCACTGGCAGCTTATGCCTATGATCCTAGCTACTCCTTGAGCAAAAGAGCTCAGGGACACAGCCCGGGACCTGAGTTCAATCCCCACAACTGGAAAAAAAAATCCAGATGCTGGTGTCTCACGTCTGTAAACTTAGCTTCTCAGGAGGCTGAGATCTGAGGATCAAGGTTTGAAACCAGCCTGGGCAGAAAAGTCTTTGTGTGACTCTTACTTCTGATTAATCATTGAAAATCCAGTGGTGTAGTTGTGGCTGAAATGTTAGTGCGCTAGCAAAAGATCTCAGTGAGAGCCAGCAAGCTGAGTTCAAGCCACATGACTGAGGTTTAAAAAAAATCAAGATGAATTAATCCTTATAGTATTCATTAAACTAGAGTCTAGCCTAGTTTATTCACCAGGAAATATTTTTTCTTTCCCTCCGTTCCTTCCTTCTTTTCTTCCTTCCCTTCCTTCCTTCTTTCCTTCCTTCCTTCCTTCCTTCCTTCCTTCCTTCCTTCCTTCCTTCCTTCCTTCCTTCCTTCCTTTCCTTCCTTCCTCTTTTACTGTTTCTTTCTTTCCATCCTTCCCTTTCTTCCTTCCCTCCCATCCTTCCTCCTTCCTTCCTTCCTTTTTCTCATTTTTTCCATTCCTTTCTTCCCTTTCTACCTCCTTCCTTCCTTTCTCTCTTTCTCACACACATCAGTAAGAAGCCATGTGACCTCATCATTTCCCTCTTATAAATGAAGAAGCTACATGATGTAAGATCCTAATTCAGTTAGTACTGAATTTGGTTCTTTATGGGGTTACTTAAAAGCTATGGTGTACTTTATGGCTTACAGGCCCTACTTTCTAAGGTAAAAACAAAAACTGAGATGGTAAAGTCAGAAAACTTGGGTGGACATTGGCTATTTATTTATTTGTACTGGTCCTAGGCCCTGTCCTTGAACTTTTATGCTCAAGGCTAGCACTCTACCACTTGAGCCACAGTACCACTTCTGGGTTTTTTACTGGTTAATTGGAGATAAAAGTCTCAAGGACTTTCCTGCCCAGGCTGACTGCACTGTGATCCTCAGATCTCAGCTTCCTGACTAACCAGGATTACAAGTGTGAACCACTAGCACCCGGCCAAGTTTTATTTTTTATTTATTTTTTAATTTTTTATGGGGTCCGGTCATGGGGCCTGAACTCTGGGCCTGAACGCTGTCCCTCAGCAATTCTGCTCAAGGCTAGCGCTCTACCATTTGAGCCACAGCACCACTTCTGGCTCTTTTTTTCTATGTGGTGTTGAGGAATCGAACCCAGGGCCTCATGCATACAAGGCAAGTGCTCTACCATTGAGCCACCTTCCCAGCCCCAAGTTTTATTTTTTTTAAAGCAGGAGACTACCTGGATACCGGTGGCTTGAGCTGTGGCTCAAGTGGTAGAGCATTAACTTTGAGCACAAAACGTTAGGGACAGTGCCCTGGCTCTGTGTTCAAGTGCCAGGACAAGCGGTCACACACACACACACACACACAAACCAAGCAGGAGACTGTACTGGAGACAGTCATGTCCTGAGTGAGCTAGTTCACTCTCTAGGAAGAAGCCCCCTGCGATGGCAGGAATTCATGGGCTCAGTGGCATGCCTTTCTTCAGTATCAATTTGTTCCTGTTACAGGCAATTTCCTGCCACTTTGCCAGCTCCAACTGCCACTACATCGATGTGAAGGGCACCAGTCAAGAAAACATCGAGAAAGAAGTCGTGGAGATTGCAGCTAAGTTGCATGGAACTGAAAGTAACATCAGCCTTAAGGTACAAAGTGTGAGATAACAAAGGAAAAATGTCAGCTTTTTTAAAGGAGTGGAGGTGTGGCTTAAGTGGTAGAACATCTACTTAGCAAGGGAGAGGCCCTGAGTTCTAATCCAGGACTCCCAAAGAGAGTCACTCTTTCCCTCCTCAAGATAGTTAATTAATACCTAATTTCATCTGATAGTATATAGTACCTGAGTTAGAGTTCCTTTTAGAAGCATTGATGAGAATAACAGGGGAAGTTCACTTTGTACTTCCTTTGTTAGTGGAGGCCTTGAAGCTGCTTCTCCAGTCTCTGGTGGTCCTACCACAAGTGGGCAATCTTGTTCCACAAAGGACAGGCAAGAAAAGAGGAGAGGAAATGAAGGACACTGGGCTTTGTCGAGACACAGAAGCCAAGATAAGGTTTATGATCATACATCTCTTTTCCATGTAGAATGCAGTATTTAGATGTTAGGTGATCTATTGTATTCCTAGTGGGCAATAACTTTTACTTTTTTTGTTTCAGTACTAGCATTTGAACTCAGGGCCTTGTGCTTGCTAGGCAGGTACTCTACCACTTGAGTCCTATCCTCAAGACACTAGTTGTCAATTTCTGAACAAGTTTTTATGATTGTCAAATTTGCAACTAGAGTTTTATGGGAGACATAATTCACACAGGCAGAGAGTTAAGATCCTTAATGCTTACTAGTAAGGGTCATGAGCCGGTATTTCATATGCTTTCCTATTAATATGCATCATTTCACAATCATTTGCTTTTATCAAATGGTTATTTGGGGTTGGGGAGGTAGCTCTCTGGTAGTGTACTTGCCTAGCCATTGTGTGGTCCTGGTTTCAATCATTAGGAATGCAGGAATGCATACCTGTCATTGTACTATCAAAACAGGATTAAGCAGTCTAGGCTGTCCCAAGGATCATGTAAGATCCTGTCTTAAAAAAGGACCAAAACCGGGGGCTGTGTACCATTTTAATTATCTCATTCTAATCAGAAGCAGATTTCTCTACGTAGTTCAGGCAGATAACACAAAGGCAAGCAACAGGAAGGCCAGCAAGGTATTTGTCCCGAGATGAAGCATCACACTGACTCAAGACCCACTCACGTAGGGAAGTAGCAGTATTCTAGCTATTGGTAAATATTTAATTGGAGTCTTGGGACTAGGTTTGTAACTATTAAGGGGGAGAAATGGGCCAGTGAAAGTATCCCATAAACACTTTCTATTTGGTGTTATTTCCAGGATATTTGGACATTTCGGTCCCGGCTTGTGAAAGGAGAAAGAATCAACCTTTGAAAACAGCCCTACCATGTCACTTTGTCAGAGGAAATCAAAGCAAGCCAATGAATCCAAGGGAAATGATTTCTCATTGGAGTGATGTTATCTTGTCTCTCACTTGGTAAAGAAATTAGGAACCATGTGCTGGGGACGGGTGTGGAGTTAATTTTGCATTGCAGTGTTATTGCTTTAGTGGAGGTGAAATGATGTGGCTAAATATTATTCTGAGAAAAACTAACTGGGTTCTACTAATAAAAGTGATGGGTGTATATTTCCAGTGTCTCAGTTTATTCTATTCAATTATCTCCCCACCCAAGTAGGAATGAGATCTTCAAAACTCAGAATGCATTGAGTTGTGCATTCTCCTCTGATAAACCCACCATCACCAATGTCACATTTTCTAATCTAGAACAATGCATAGTATACTCCTGAAAGCCCTGAGAAGGTGTGATGGATTCCACAGGAGGGAGCATATGCATTCTTTTTTGTATTTTTTAAGACCTTCCTGTGTAGCCAGGTCTGGCCTTGAACTCACAATTATCCTTCCTCAGTCTTCCAAGTTCTAGGATTCTAGGCATCTAGGCACCACATCCAACATTTGATATTGTCTTCATGCGTAGACTTGGGGCAATAGTATCTGGGAGGGAAACTTATTGTGACTTACTGCTCATGGTTTTGACCTTAACTATGATCCTGGCTGTCCAAAGCCTCCACTGCCCACACTGGATCCCTTGGGGAGAATTCTCACAGATGGGGATTTTTCTATTCCTGCCTTCTTTAGGATAGGATATCTCCATGAAATTTCTGGATTTCTTTGGCAACGATTTGACTAATTTTTTTGGGAGGGGGGTGTCCGGTCATGGAGCCTGAACTCTGGGCCTGGGCACTGTCCCTCAGCTCTTCAGCTCAAGGCTAGCACTCTACCACTTGAG